TCCCCTCCCCTCCCCTCCCCTCCCCTCTCCTCTCCTCTCCTCTACCTCTAAATATAACCTGTTCAGTCTGTATAATAATACCTGTATATGTTTTCATGACTAGCTTTTTGGTACCAGACAGTGAATTGGTGTGTTCTTCCCTGAGTACTCCTACCTCTCCTATTCCTAGTTGCCTTCAGTTCTCTATCATCCTTTGAGTACGGTTGAAGCCTCTGGGCTTTTTTGTCTTAATTTGTGTATATATTGGTACCATTCTTGTTCAGCTCATGTTTGGGCAGTGATATATGTAAGATTTTATGTGTGTTTCTCCTGATATTACTAGGAAACACAGTCTTAGAAGAAGTTCCCTAACCCTCTGGCTCTGATAATCTCGCAGCCCCCTCTTGGGTAGTGTTCCCTGAGTCTTATATTATGTGCAGGAGAGTTCTGCGGATATGTCCATTCTGATCAGACTCCACCACTCAGCTTTGATTGGTTGTGGATTTCTGTAATGGTCTCTGGCTGTTGCAAATGAAAGTTTCTTTGATGAAGAGTAAAGACTACAGTTATCTTCAGGTGTAAGAACAATGTATATAGATTGTTGTTAGGGATCATGCTGTTTTAGTAAGTTTGTGGTTGTAGATTTTTCTCCAGTAATCATCATTTGACCAGCACAGTTTTTAGCTGGGATTCCAGTGCTAGGTATCCATACCCACTTGCTAAGGGAGTCTTAAGTCCAAATAAAGAGCCCTTGGTTACAAAGAAGGTCTGTACTCCACTACTGCATACTTAGAGCTATAATGCCATGATGGTAATTGTTACACATCAGGTGAACATGATGGTAGCCTTCTTTATAACAAGGCAATAATAGAGCATAAGCATTAATACTGGAAGCTTTATTATTTGGAAAACATAGTGAATTAAATGTAATGTGTTCTAGCTTTAGATGTATATAATCTTTGTTTTTCATTTCATACCTCAATAAAGGTAAGAAAAAACAAAAGGGCAAGACAGTGACCAAACCATGGAAGGACCAAGGTGGAGTTTTTGAATATGAGGAAGCAGGCCCAGGTGACTGCTTTGTTTTGTTTTGTTTTTATCTCTGTTGGTTCATGTTATGTTTCTATTTATTGAATAATGGTGTAATGATTTTAGAAAAAAAAAAAGACTGATTTGCACTTTTAAGGAAGCAGGTATAAGAACCACAATGATATATTCTTAGAATTTTTCACTGTGATGAGTTTAATTTGTTTCCTATTTTAATAAGTTCATCCTTTTGGAGAATTAGATTGGTTCTTCATTATAGATTTTTTCATGTTTTCAAGGAGAATTATTTTTTTTGAGATTCTCTTTAAATGGAACCTTTCTCCATATGCTTTCCTCCCTTCAAAACCTCCCATGTAAACCACCTACTCTATGCCAAAATTCATGGCCTCTTTTTGCAATAATTGTTAGTGATTTTATTTAAGGGTATCTATACACACACACACACACACACACACACACACACACACACACATTCCAAAATATAACCAGTTCAGTCTGTATAATAATACCTGTATGTATGTTTTCATGACTGGCTTTTTGCCACTAGACAGAGAATTGCTGTATCCTTCCCTGGGTATTTACCACTTCTGTCCCCAGTTTCCTCATTTATCTATCATCCTTTGAGTAGGGTTGAAGCCCCGTGGCCTTTTCTCTGAGCAGTTTGTATATGTATTCTTGCCATTCCTGTTCAACTTATGTTTGGACAGTGATGATTATGAAATTTTATTTGTGTTTCTCCTGATATTACTAGGAGACACAGTCTTAGAACAAATTCTCTCACACTCTGATGATCTTTCTGTCCCACTTGGGTAGTGTTCTGTGAGCCTTATCTTATGTGCAGGAAAGTTCTGTCGATATATCCATTCTGATTGGGATCCAGCACTCTCTGCTTTGATTGGTTGTGGATTTCTGTAATGGTCTCTTGCTGTTGCAAATGAAAATTTCTTTGATGAAGAGTAAAGACTACAGTTATCTTCAGGTGTAAGAACAATGTTTATACAAATGTTAGGGATCATGCTGTTTTAGTAAGTTAGTGGTTGTAGATTCTTCTCCAATAATCATCACTTAACCAGCACAGTGTTTTTAGCTGGGTTTCTAGTGCCAGGAATGCTCTCCCACTTGTTCAGCAAGTCTTAAGTCCAATTAAATCTTCTTTTATTAAAAAAAGGTCTGGCCGGGCGGTGGTGGTGCACGCCTTTAATTTCACCACTAGGGAGGCAGAGCCAGGCGGATCTCTGTGAGTTCAAGGCCAGCCTGGGCTACCAAGTGAGTCCCAGGAAAGGCACAAAGCTACACAAAGAAACCCTATCTTGAAAAATCAAAAAAAAAAAAAGGTCTGTGTTCCACTGCTGCATACTTAGAGCTATCATGCTATGATGGGCATTGTTACACATCAGGACATCAGGTGACAATGATGGTAGCCTTTATAACAAGGCTATAGTAGAGCATATGCATTAGTATTAGAAGTTTTATTATTTGGAAAACAGTGGATTAAACATAATGTGTTCTAGCTTTCAGTGTATAAAATCTTTGTATTTCATTTCATACCTCAATGAAGCTAAGAAAATATGTAAGGGCAAGACAGTGACCAAGCCATGGAAAGACCAAGGAGGACTTTTTGAATATGAAGAAGCAGCCCCAGGTGATTGTTTTGCTTTGCTTTGTTTTGTTTTTATCTGTATTTATTTACATGATATTTGCCATATATTGAATAATTATGTAATGTATCCAAAAGGAAGACTATTTTTCACTTTTTTAGGAAACTAGTGTAATTCATAGAATTTTCACTGTTCTAGGTCAAATTTGTCTTTTAATATAATAAGTTCATCCTTTTGAGAATTAGATTGTTTCTTCATTACAGATTCTTTTCATGTTTTCAAGGAAATTGATCACATTGTTTATGAAATTATCATTTAACTGCAACCATTCTCCATACCCTTTCCAACCTCCAAAACCTCCCATTTCTATCCCTTTCTCTATAGCAAAATTCATGGCCTCTTTTCACACTAATTGTTAGAATTGTATTTAAGAATAGCTATGTGTACACACACACACTCCTAAATATAACCTGTTTACTCTGTATTATAGTCTCTGTTTATATGTTTTCATGACTGGCTTTATGGCACCAGACAGAATTGCTGTAACCTTCCCAGGGTATTCCCACCTCTCCTGTTCCCAGTTTTCTTCAGTTTTCGGTCATTCTTTGAGTAGGGTGAAGCCTTCTGGGACTTTTTTTGTTCAATTTGTGTATGTATTGGTGCCATTCTTGTTCAGCTCATGTTTGAGCAGAGATGTGTATGAGATTTTATGTTTGTTTCTCCTGATATTAGTAGGAACCACAGTCTTCGAACAGATTTCTTGACCCTCTGGCTCTGATGATCTTTCAGCTACTCTCTCTTGGGTAGTGTTCCCTGAGCCTTATCTTATGTACCAGAGAGTTCTGTAGATGTATCTATTCTGATTGGACTCCACCAAACTCTGCTTTAATTGGTTGTGGAATTTTGTAAAAGTCTCTGGCTGTTGCAAACAATGGTTTCTTTGATGAAGAGTAAAGACTACAGTTATCTTCAGGTATAAAAATAATGTTTATAAATTGTTAGGGATTATGCTGTCTTAATAAGTTTCTGGTACATGGACTGCTCTCACCCAATGTGAGTTTGAACTGTTGACCTTGTGTACATCCTACTTCACAAATGAGTCTGTCAGATACACTAAGCCTATAGGCTGAAGATGATGCCCCAAAAACTGCGGAGAAACCTCAGGTGACTGTCCAGGCAGCTGGCTGTTTCTGTCAACTCACAAATTTTTTGGAAGTTGCTTGCATGCACTTACTGTTTTTATTTTTGTTAGCTAATATTATTTCATTCTTGGGACTCTGAGGGAGTTGAAGATTAGTTAGTTATAGTTGAAGATTAATTAGTACAGAAAGTGAATCAGGTACATTTTGGACTTACCAAAATAGGATAGATAATGGAATTATTTTCTACAAATTTGTCAAATACAAATGGACTAGACATTGTTTAGGTATTTATTACTTGTATATATTGTATATAGTTATTGTACTTCTGTATATAGTTTTTCTTATGTTAGTTTAAACCTTTTTTCTTTTTATTAAAATAGAAAAGGGGAAATATGGTGATATTTTAATAGCACTGAAATGTGATTTTATTTGTATGTTAATAAATAAAGTTGCCTGGGGGTCAGAGCTAGTAGCAAGCCATGGCAGAGCTGGGTGTTCGTGGCGCACACCTTTAATCCCAGCACTTGGTAGAAGAGCTAGGTAGATCTCTGTGTGTTCAAGGATACAGCCAGCATTGGAGACACACACCTTTAATCTCAATACCATAGAAGACCTGGAGGGCTGTACAACAGACAGTAACGAGGCAGTCGTGGTTGGTTTTATTACCAATGAGAAGGCAGAATAGAAAGTCTATATAAAGACAAACAGACAGGAAGTAGCTCTCTTTCTGAGAGGTCTCTTGGCTGAAGAGGCTAGCTGCAGCAGGCGGGTAAGGCTCTTAGCTCTGATCTCTTGGCTTTCTTCTTTGCATTGGTTCTGTGTTTCTTATTTAATAAGACGGTTGGTTACATCTACAGTTAATGGTTGTAGATTCTTCTTCAATAATTATCATTTGACCCACACAGAATTTTAGGTGGGTTTCCAGTACCAGGCAATCTTTCCCTCTTGTTGAGCGAGTCTTAAGTCCCAGTACAGAGCTATTGGTTACAAGGAAGGTCTGTGTTCCACTGCTGCATACTTAGAGCTACCATGCTGTGGTGGACAGTGTTACACTTCAGGTGACAATGATGGTAGCCTTGCTTATGAGAAGGCTGTATTAGAGAATATGCGTTAGTGGTGGAAGCTTTAGTATTTGGAAAACAGTGAATTAAACATAATGTGGTCTAGCTTTAAATGTACATAATCTTTGTTTTTCATTTCATACGTCAATAAAGCTGAGCAAAAACGCAAAGGCAAGACAGTGACCAAACCATGGAAGGACCAAGGTGGAGATTTTGAATATGAAGAAGCAGGCCCAGGTGACTGCTTTGTTTTGTTTTGTTTTCATCTCTGTTGGTTCATGTTATGTTTCTATTTATTGAATAATGGAGTAATGTATTCAAATGGAAGACTAGTTTTCATTTTTTAGGAAACCAGTGTAATAGCACATTGATAAATTAATAGAAATTTTTACTGTGCCAGGTTAAATTAGTCCCTGATGATAATAAGTTAATCCTTTTGGAGAATTAGGTTGTTTCTTCTTTTCAGATTCTTTTTATGTTTTTAAGGAAATTGATCTGATTGTGTATGAAATTAAATCATTTAGTTGCAATCTTTCTCCATACCCTTTCTCCCCTCCAAAACCTCCCATATCAACCCACTTCTCTATGCCAAAATTCATGGCCCATTCTCACACTAATTTTTAGTGAATCTATTTAAGAATATCTATGCACACACATATTGCAAAATATAAGTGGTTCAGTCTGTATAATAATACCTATATGTGTGTTTTTATGGCTGGATTTTAGGCGGCACACAGTGTATTCTTCCATGCCTATTCCCACCTCTCCTTTTCTTAGTTCTATCAATTTTCTATTCTCCTTTGAGTAGGGTTGAAGCCTGGTGGACTTTTCTCTATCTATCTTGTATATGTATTGGTGCTATTCTTGTTTAGCTCATGTTTGAGTAGTGATTTTAGTGAGATTTTTATGTGTGTTTCTCCTGATATTACTCAGAGACATTGTGTTAGAAAAAATTTCCTCATCCTCTGACTGTCGTGATCTTTTATTCCCTTCTTGAATAGTGTTCCATGAGTATTTTCTTTTGTTCAGGAGACTTCTGTAGATGTATTCATTCTAATTGTGTTCTACTACCCGCTGCTTTGATTGGTTTTGAATTTCTGCAATGGGTCTCTGGATGTTGCAAACAAAAGTTCATTTAAAAATAAGTAAAGACTACAGTTATCTTCAGGTGTAAGACAAATGTTCATAGATTGTTGTTGGGGATAGTGCCTTTTTTAGTAAGTTAGTGCCTGTAGATTCTTCTCTAATAACCATCATTTGAGCAGCACAGAGTTTTACCTGGTTTTCAGTGCCAGCCATGCTCTCCCTCTTGTTGAGCTATTTCAGTACAAGAACTCCTGGTTACAAAGGTCTGTGTTCCACTGCTGCATACTTAGAGCTACCATGCTGTGGAGGACAGTGTTACACTTCAGGTGACAATGATGGTAGCCTTGCTTATGAGAAGGCTGTATTAGAGAATATGCATTAGTGGTGGAAGCTTTATCATTTTGGAAATCCTAGTTGATGAAACACAATGTATTATAGCTTTAAATGTATATAATCTTCATTTTTTGTTTCATACCTCAATAAAGCTGAGAAAAAACGCAAGGGCAAGACAGTGACCAAACCATGGAAGGACCAAGGCGGAGTTTTTGAATATGAGGAAGCAGGCCCAGGTAACTGCTTTGTTTTGTTTTTAACTGTATTCATTCACAGTATGTTTGCTATTTATTGAGTAATGGTTTACTATTTTCAAAAGAAAGACTGTTTTTCACTTTTTAGGATACCATTGTAATGCCACAATGATAAATCCATAGAAACTTTCACTGTGATAAGTCAAATTTATCTCTTATTGTAATAAGTTCATCCTTTTGAAGAAGTAGATTGCTTCTTGATTACAGATTCTTTTCGTGTTTTCAAGGAGAACTGTCTATTTTTTATAAGATTGCTTTTCAATTGCAGCCTTTCTCCATATCCTTTCCTCGTTTATATCCTACAATTTCAACCCACTTTTCTTCCCAGAAATTCATGGTCTCTTTTCATCTTAATTGTCAGGAATTGTGTTTAAGAATATCTGTGTGTGTGTGTACACACACACACACACACACACACACACACACACACACACACACGTATTCCTAAATATAACCTGTTCAGTCTGTATAATAATACCTGTATGTATGTTTTCGTGACTGGCTTTTTGCCACTAGACAGAGAATTGCTGTATCTTTCCCAGGGTATTTACCACTTCTATTTCCAGGTTCCTCAGTTATCTATCATCCCTTGAGTAGGGTTGAAGCCCCATGGGTTTTACTCTGAGGAATTTGTGTATATATTAGTGCCATTCTTCTTCGCTCATGTTTTGGCAGTGATATTTGTGTGATTTTATGTGTGTTTCTTCTGATATTACTAGGAAACACAGTCTTAGAACAAATTCCCTGACCCTCTGGCTCTAATGATCTTTCAGCCTCCTCTTGGGTAGTGTTCCCTTGTCTTATCTTACGTCCATGAGAGTTCTTGTGGATATGTCCATTCTGATTAGACTTCACCACTCCGCTTTTATTGGGTGTGGATTTCTGTAATGGTCTCTGGCTGTTGCAAATGAAAGTTTCTTTGATGAAGAGTAAAGACTACAGTTACCTTCAGGTGTAAGAACAATGTTTATAGATTGTTTTTAGGGATCATGCTATTTTAGTAAGTTTGTGGTTGTAGATTTTTCTCCAGTAATCATCATTTGACCAGCACAGTTTTTTGCTGGGTTTCCAGTGCTAGGTATCCATACCCACTTGCTAAGGGAGTCTTAAGTCCAAATAAAGAGCCCTTGGTTACAAAGAAGGTCTGTACTCCACTACTGCATACTTAGAGCTATAATGCCATGATGGTAATTGTTACACATCAGGTGAACATGATGATAGTCTTCTTTATGACAAGGCTATAGTAGAGCATATGCATTAATGGTAGAAGCTTTATTATTTTGGAAAACCTAGTTGATAAAACATAATGTGTTCTAGATTTAGATGTATATAATCTTTTTCATTTTATACCTCAATAAAGCTGAGAAAAAATACAAGGGTAAGAAAGTGACCAAACCACGGAAAGACCAAGGAGAACTTTTTGAATATGAAAAAGCAGCCCCAGGTGATTGCTTTGCTTTGTTTTGTTTTTATCTGTATTTATTCACATGATGTTTGCCATATATTGAATAATTGTGTAATGTATTCAAAGGAAGATGATTTTTCACTTTTTTAGGAAACCAGTGTAATACCACAATGATAAATTCATAAAATTTTCACTGTGCTAGGTCAAATTTGTCTTTTAATATAATAAGTTCATCCTTTTGAGAATTAGATTCATTACAGATTCTTTTCATGTTTTCAAGGAAATTTATCTCATTGTTTATGAAATTATCATTTAATTACAACCATTCTCCATACCCTTTGCAACCTGCAAAACCTCCCATTTCATTCCCCTTCTTTATATCGTCAGGTATAAGAATAATGTTTAAAAATTGTTGTTAGGGATAATGCTGTCTTAATAAGTTAATGGTTGTAGATTCTTCTTCAATAATTATCATTTGACCCACACAGAATTTTAGGTGGGTTTCCAGTACCAGGCAATCTTTCCCTCTTGTT